TTCTGCTATTCAATGTGTACTTTTCAGTCTGTCTTCCATATTTCATGTAAATTCTACATTTGTTTTCCTGGAAAACGCCTTGGTTTTGCTTCCTCAGCAGTGGAAGCCAAAAAACACCGATGTATAACAACAGTTGTCTACAAAACGAAAAACATCTTTAGGCAGGAGTGGATTAATATTAAAAAGTACCTTGTCTGTTACTGAAGTCTCTCATAAAATCGGTTTTTCTGTATAATAAAGATAGCACTATTTTGTTCTTTATCTGATTCAGGAGAGCAACGCTAACAACCTGTTCGCAGGTCCCTTGGGCTCCATCTTGTGGCGAATTCAATGAGTGTTATCCCTTGGGAGAGAGTCTTACCTCGAGCTACAGTCAAAATAGCGCTGATTATTTTACACAACATAGTTGATTGTGACTGCTTGTTTTATTTTCTCACACACACAAAAATTATATTTAATACTATTTTTTAGATCAGAATTTAAATAAATATTCTACTTCTGTTTCTCCATTTAGAAATACACATTCTGCCAGGGGGATGCATGATGCACTTCACAGTTATACAATTAAGTCATCTAATTTCTTATCATTTGAAGCACTTTAAAAAACTACATTATGGAGATGGGGTTTATATTACACCAGAGATAACTGCAGCTGAACAAAACTCCCATGCTGCCATGGGCTTTATTAATAAGATGTTTGCCTTACTTTTTTTCTGGTCAAAATCAAACATAAGCAGTTCTGAAATCCAGTACTACCCAGTTCATTTTCAGTTTGACAAGCATCATGGTTTTTCTACATATTTTAAAGGGATTTTGCTTTTCCTTAGCTCGTTTGTACCACACTGTATGGGGATCTACAATTTCCCATTACCATGAACAATTCTAAGAAATTTTTTTTTATTGGATTGGCAAAAAACAAGTTTGGATCTTGAATGTATATATTTTACTTATTTTATGCATTTGTTTTATACTAGTTGCACTCAGACTATATATATATTCTTTTTACACCATGATGTGTTTATTGCAAAAACACAAATTTTGATCATGTGTGCCATCCTATCAATTTTCTGTTAATGAAACTTGTCAGCTGAATGTGTTTTTAGCCTTCTAAAAACTGTTAAATGAATTTAAGAGCAAGCTGCCAGAGTGATAATGCTGAAAACCAGAAGTAATGTTATCGTCTACTAACATCAATATGCAAATAACTTCTGTATCTCACTGACTTACAAGAGTTTATAACATCAAACAATCTATATAGGAAATGAGAATTCCAGAAGACAACCAGTCTAACTGTCCTAGAAGTAAGACAGAGCTCCCTCTCTCACTCATTAGCTGTAAAGAACCTACAGAAACAGATTTCCTGGCAGATCAGGTTCACAATTCATGTTATGCAATGACATGGTTCTTACGCTTATGCACGTGGATTTGTAATCCTCTGGGATTATGTGGTTGTTAAATCCTGTTTGACTTCTCTAGATGTTTTTTCACTATAATCACAGAAGTAATGAATCTTTAGGGAAAGTTTCCCAAAACTGACCTTGAGAGAGAATTTACTAAACTTTTTAAGGTTGTTTGTTTGACATCCCCATCTCACTCCATGACCTCTTCAGTCAGAAATCGATCAGGTATGGAAGCTATGAAGTGAATTGAGAAATTGGCTTTAATCTGGCTCCATTTTGCACAAAGCATTTTTGGAACATTCTGTAACTATGCAACAATTTTTGAGTGATAAATATGCTGTTTTTGTTTACCATATTAACACTTTGTTCCTGCACTGAAAAGGTCACGTAGAACTGAAATTTGCTGAAACGTTTTGGTATCAAAATTCTGTTTATCATTTTCTTGAGGTACACTGAAACTGATGGGCTTTATTTCACATCACTAATATCTAGTTCTGTTCTAATCCACGTAAATTTTGACTTGTGCTTTTAAAGAGTTAATTTTTTTTTTGTTCTAGCAGCAAAATTTGCTCTCGGGGATTTTAGGAAATGCCTTCGTCACGCAGAGTTGCTGCCTCTTGCCCTTTAGAAACTGACAGTTCTTTATATGTTCCTATGATGGCTCCTCTATCCCACACATGTTGAAATATGGCATAACATGATTCTGGGAGCTGAAGCTGACTGTTTTCTTCAGACTTCAGATGCAAAGTCTTAGGGAACTAACTTTTCAAATAGAAGGGATTAATGCATAAATTTCATGCACAAGCTGTGCCCAACTGTTCCTTGCTAGAATCACTAATTTTCTCAATTTAGATAAATCAATGAAATTTATAAGCCTTTTCCATCTTAATTCTGTTCTTTTCTGCCTTTTTCAAACCCCTTTATGTCTGATTTATGCTATGTACAGAATGTACTGTCGAAACTAAGTGTCATTCCATCTTTATCTCTTCTCTTCTTATGATGGCTTGTCACCCTGCGTTGCTCATTATTCATGCTTTTCTAACTGAAGGGTGTGGATTGGAATAAGAAGGAATAATTGAAGAAAGCTTCATAGACAATACAGTGCCTACGTACTTCATGATTCGCATGAGAAATGATAAAGTGCTATTTGAACTGTGCATGCTAGTACCATAATGTATTTTGGATAATGAGCCAGTCAATTTAGAGCACTGTCTGGATACTTCTATTATTTTTGCAGCTGGGCAAAAGAATACTGTATACTAAAGGAAAAACAGCAAGCATTTCTTCTTTGTATTGCCAGTCGAAGGAATACGCATGCAGCCTGGAGCAATTTTCAATAATAACAGAATAAACAAAAATAAATAAAATCTGACAGTATCAGGAGTTAGCTATTAATATGCCATATTTTCTGTTTGGAGCCTGCAGAAAGTGTGAAGCTGGATGTGGAAACTAAAGTATTATATGTTCATCTTTGGGAAGAGGCCCATTTTCCAGCTTAGTGCCTAAGACAGGAACATTAATTAATGGCCAGTTTTCCTTACTTGCTGGAAGATGTCAGATCAACAAGTTTTTCACTACAATCACAACCTTCCTTCCTGAAAAATGTTGGACTTAGAAACCCAACAGTAAGTTTAATAATAATAATAATTAAAAAATAAAGAAATTATTTTAAGAAGAATGACTTTTAGCTCCATTCACACCTCTACATTTCTGCAAAGTAACTAGCTGCAGGAAGTTCACTCCTCTGCCAGGTGCTTGAAAGTATCCTACAAGTTCCTCCTGGCAAAATCCTCTGAATTAATTAAAAAAACAATTTTTATTTTTTTTTTATAAGCAAATATATAAAGAACAATAAGAAAAAAAAGAAAAATACATCAAACTTCAAATAATATTCATTAAAATTTCAATTCTTCATTATTTCTGTGGGGGAGGTTAAGGTAAAGGAGGAAAAAAAGTCTTAGCCTGTAAAAAATGAATCAAGGGCAAGCAGTAAGCATTACAAACAAATCCCCTTCAAGTTCTTCTGTAAATCAATGGAGCCTTAACCTGTGGTAAGGCTCACAGAAGTAGCATCCTATCTCAATTAGCAATTACCTCACTACTTTATTTCCATTTAAGATATAACAGTTCCTGTGTTAAGTGCAAGACAGAGAGCATTTTGATGTCTGAAAACTAGTGCAAGGGTAACTGCCAGTTTTCTGATTCTCCTTGCTTTGCAGGCAACCTGTTATGCCTCAGTTACTGCAAATAAATCTTTGGACAAAATATCCTGCTTGATGCCTGTTCAGCAGGGTGGCTTTTTTAATAACCAAGATTAATTTTATTATTCTCTTAAACACATGA